GTCTCATGGATCCATCCTTCTTCTTCACAAAGAGTACTGGAGCTCCATAAGGTGAAACACTTGGTTGAATGAATCCCTTGCTCAACATCTCCTCCACTTGAGCTTTGCATTCTTCCAATTCGTTTGGAGCCAAACGATATGGAGCTTTGCAAGTTGGTGTACTTCCAGGTATCACCTCAATCTTGTGATCAACTCGCCTCTTTGGTGGTAATCCTGCAGGTAGATCATCTGGAAAAACATCTTTATACTCCATAAAAATGTCGTTCAAGGACTCCGGGATGTAAGGTTTGTCCGTGGACCCAATATCTCTTATAAGTCCAAGGAAACATACATCATCTCTAGAAATGGATGCTGTACCCATCACAAAGAGGGGTAAATTCCTATTCTGAGATCTAATTCTATCTCCATAGATCTTCCATCCGCTACTTGTAATCACTTTTCTTCTCCAATCTACCTTCGGATTATATTGTTCCATCCATGGCATTCCAAGGATGACATCATACCGAGCTAAACGAATTACTCTCCATTCAATGCTCTCCTTGTATCTACTTATGGATAATTCTACACTCCGTGGTAGTGTTTCTATCACTTCAGTTTGCCCGTTTGGCAATTCAACTTCTTCACTCACGTCCTTCATCAACATCAAACCTAACTTCATAGCAACACTCCTTGATAGAAAATTCTCAGTTGCTCCAGTATCAATTAAAACTCTCACCTTGTGTCCTTCCATGAAACCATCAGTGACAATGAGTTGAGCTTGCTTCTTACTCCTTCCATGAGCTCCCAACCATTGCTTTCTTCCAACCTCGCCTTTTCTTCGCTTTGTAGAACCAGTAAGGCCGCGAGGCAAGATTACTGGTGATCTTCGTTTCCCGAAACTGCTTCCTCCACCTCTTCATACTCTATCCCCTCCATATTGTTGAACGGTCGTCGCTGCATGGGCCGTCCTCCTTGTTGTGTCGGCCGAACTCGACAAAACTTGGCTATGTGACCCATTCGTCCACATGCATAGCATTGGCGATTGTCACGAACTCCAGCTCCTCCTCGAACCATTCCATTATTTGCATAACCTTCTTGCAAATTTGGAACTCCTGGTCGCCTAATCTCACCTCCAAATCTTGGTGGTGGTCCTCTTGTTGGTGCAAAACCTTCTCTACGTCGAAGGTTTCCCAACTCCATCGGTGTTGGACCAGATGGATCTCTAAAATTGCTCACTAGCTCACCGTGTGTGACACCAAAAGCACCTGAAATTCGTTGAGCAATTGCGATTGCTTCATTCACAGTAGATGGATTGCTTACCATCACCTCCTTTCGAATTCGATCTTTCAAGCCTCGTTTGAACACGTCCAAGGCTTCAGCTCCACTCATATCCATGATAGATACTTGAAGATCACGAAATTCTTCAATGTACTCATGAATACCTCCTTTCTGCTTCAGATCCCACAACTTCATTCTTGCAGTTTGAAGAGAATCCACCGCTTGAAAATTTTGCAGAAGTCCTTCCTGCATTCCACTCCACGAAATGGTAGCACCTCGTTCTGAAAGCATTCTCTCCCATGTTGTGTACCATGTGAGAGCCTTATCCGTAAGATAAGATCTCATGAACATTCCTGCAATATAATCAGAAACATGAAAATGGGATAAATGAATATTCATCCTCATAATCCATCCCTCTAACACTCCCATTGCTCTACTCCCTTTGTAAGCTTCCACCTTACAGGATTTTCCCATTCGAAGCAAAAGATTTGCTTGATCTTCAATCTCTTGAAGACGTCTCCTATTTGCCTCTGCTGCATCAATAGGAGTTGGTTCTGGCTGAACTTGGGAAGCTTGAACTTGAGGTTCAACTTCCATCTCTCCAACTCTTTCTCTCTCTACTTTCTCACTCTCTAATGCAAAGATTTTATCTTCTATGGCTTGCTGCTTGGTATGCCCATCTACTATCGCTTTTCTCAACTCCTTCATCTCCGCCATGATTGTATTGAGAACCTCACCCATATCAATTGATGTTCCCATGCTTTTTCACACTCCCTCTAATACAAAGTGAGTATAATCACTATGTGACCTCTCAACAAAGGAGTCACAAAAGGTGCAGGTGACTCTATCACAGCTCTATAGTAATCCTCTCCATAATTCCTCACAAGAAAATCTCTCAATATACTCTTCTGTCTATAACCTGTTCTAATCTCTACATAAGTGCTGAATCGAACCGGGACAGGTGGTTCGCGGTTCAAATCCATGAAACAATCAGTATAGAATGTATATAGTACAATCCCAAGTCTCTCCATAAGTAACTATTGGAAGAATCAGTGGCACTCTTGACTCCATCACTCTAGTCATAAAATCTGCACCCCAACAAGCCACAAGGTACATCCGAAAATGATGTTTCTCCATGCAACGAAGGTGAATATCGAATAGGTTAGGAATTGGCCAGTGCGGTACTGGATTCCTGTCAATCCCGTCCATATCTGCAAAAACACAATTTCCCCCTTCCACCTCCCTCTACATGCAGATGAATGACCTCTGCCAGCCTCTATACACTCTCAAGACTACACTCCATCATCACTCACTTGCTATTCCATGAGGCGTAATCCACACTCAAGGAAAGAGCAAGGTCGCTCTGATACCATTGTAACACTAGGGTTTAGAGAGAAGTTCACTCGAAGATAGAAACGTAAACTCTGAAGATGAGAGATACCAACAATGGTTCTCCTCTCCCTTATATAGCTCTCACCAACAAGTACAAGATGATAAGATCTAATCCCCACCATCCATACCACTCCTAGTGGATGGATGACGTGGCGGATAACCCTAACAAGCACACGGATCGCTGACGTGGCGCACCCAACTAACACACTAACTAATACACTCAATCCTTACCTACAAGCACACGGATTGCTGACGTGGCACTGTCAACTAACACATCCACTCTGTACCTACCAAGTGCGCGGATCGCTGACGTGGTAGCTATGACTAGTGCACACTAAAGTATCTACATCAATATTCAGAGTAACCTCTACTTTAGTTCTAACTAACTAAAGATGGTTACAGTTAGTTGATAGTGCCACGTCAGCAATCCGTGTGCTTGTAGGTAAGGATTGAGTGTGTTAGTTAGTGTGTTAGTTGGGTGCGCCACGTCAGCGATCCGTGTGCTTGTTAGGGTTATCCGCCACGTCATCCATCCACTAGGAGTGGGATGGATGGTGGAGATTAGATCTTATCATCTTGTACTTGTTGGTGAGAGCTATATAAGGGAGAGGAGAACCATTGTTGGTATCTCTCATCTTCAGAGTTTACGTTTCTATCTTCGAGTGAGCTTCTCTTTAAACCTTAGTGTTACAATGATATCAGAGCGACCTTGCTCTTTCCTTGAGTGTGGATTACCCCTCATGGAATAGCAAGTGAATGATGATGGAGTGTAGTCTTGAGAGTGTATAGAGGCTGGCAGAGGTCATTCATCTGCATGTAGAGGGAGGTGGAAGGGGGAAATTGTGTTTTTGCAGATATGGACGGGATTGACAGGAATCCAGTACCGCACTGGCCAATTCCTAACCTATTCGATATTCACCTTCGTTGCATGGAGAAACATCATTTTCGGATGTACCTTGTGGCTTTTTGGAGTGCAGATTTTATGACTAGAGTGATGGAGTCAAGAGTGCCACTGATTCTTCCAATAGTTACTTATGGAGAGACTTGGGATTGTACTATATACATTCTATACTGATTGTTTCATGGATTTGAATCGCAAACCAACTGTCCCAGTTTGATTCAGCACTTATGTAGAGATTAGAACAGTATATAGACAGAAGAGGATATGCAGAGATTTTCTTGTGAGGAATTATGGAGAGGATTACTATAGAGCTGTGATAGAGTCACCTGCATCTTTTGTGACTCCTTTGTTGAGAGGTTACATAGTGATTATACTCACTTTGTATTAGAGGGAGTGTGAGAAAGCATGGGGACATCAATTGATATGGGTGAGGTTCTCAATGCAATCATGACGGAGATGAAGGAGTTGAGAAAAGCGATAGTAGATGGGCATACCAAGCAGCAAGCCATGGAAGATAAAATCTTTGCATTGGAGAGTGAGAAAATAGAGAGAGAAAGAGTTGGAGAGATGGAAGTTGAACCTCAAGTTCAAGCTTCCCAAGTTCAGCCAGAACCAACTCCTATTGATGCAGCAGAGGCAAATAGGAGACGTCTTCAAGAGATTGAAGATCAAGCAAATCTTTTGCTTCGAATGGGAAAATCCTGTAAGGTGGAAGCTTACAAAGGGAGTAGAGCAATGGGAGTGTTAGAGGGATGGATTATGAGGATGAATATTCATTTATCCCATTTTCATGTTTCTGATTATATTGCAGGAATGTTCATGAGATCTTATCTTACGGATAAGGCTCTCACATGGTACACAACATGGGAGAGAATGCTTTCAGAACGAGGTGCTACCATTTCGTGGAGTGGAATGCAGGAAGGACTTCTGCAAAATTTTCAAGCGGTGGATTCTCTTCAAACTGCAAGAATGAAGTTGTGGGATCTCAAGCAGAAAGGAGTTATTCATGAGTACATTGAAGAATTTTGTGATCTTCAAGTATCTATCATGAATATGAGTGGAGTTGAAGCCTTGGACATGTTCAAACGAGGCTTGAAGGATCGAATTCAAAAGGAAGTGATGGTAAGCAATCCACCTATTATGAATGAAGCAATCGCAATTGCTCAACAAATTTCGGGTGCTTTTGGTGTCACACACGATGAACCAGTGAGCAATTTTTGAGATCCATCTGGTCCAACACCGATGGAGTTGGGAAACCTTCGACGTAGAGAAGGTTTTGCACCAACAAGAGGACCATCACCAGGCCTCTCTATATACGGCACATACGGAACTTTTGAGTTAAAGTTCCGTATTTGGACCATAAATGACCTCGTTCACTTTGGAGGCGCTACTAACAAACTTAAACTGCAGGTACCGTTTCGAAACAGTCGTTCGAAACGGTATGGGAAGGTTATCGAAACGCATGTTTCGATAACCTTCCCACGCGCACTCTTCGCGAAATCAGTCCCGCTGCTGTCATCCACGAAGGAGATGTCACGGAGTTGCCAAGCATGACCTGCTTCCCAGACACTAAAGCTCCCATTCGAATTATATCGAATTGAATCGAATCGAATTGATGATCTACAGAGAGGGGGATCAATTTACAAGATTTCTGGTTAAATTCGGCGGTGCAGCAAATGCCTTTGGTTTTAAAGTGCACGACTATTCTGCCACCTTTTGCAGTGTCAAGAATTAGAATCCGCACCTCTGTGAGTCGGGCGAGGCATCTTTGCGGAGTCGGAGAAAGTAGAACTATGGTTAGCATTCTTTGATGTGGTTTCGGAAGGGGCTGCGCTTACACGACAATCCTGCTCTGCATAAAGCTTGCGAAGATGCGTCTCATGTTTTTCCCGTTTTCGTGTTGGATCCCTTCTTTCTAGCTCCAGATCTGCAACCTCCGGGCTGACTCTCACTCAGGTTTACCTCAGATGGCTTTTCGGTAGCTCATCATGATTCTAGAAGACTAGGATTCCGCATCATACTCATAACCTAAACACCCTCTCACACAATCTCTCAAGGTATCACTCCAACTCATACACTCATCGACACTCCAAGGTACTGAAAATTCGTCACTCTTTCATATATGAAACAAGTCTCTACATATGAACTCTCCAAACTTGCTTGAGAGGCTCTTGTCTACCTCTCTATATATACTACTTGAGAATTTACCATAGTAACAAATGGTAATTTCTATCTAACTTACTTTTACGAAGATAAACCATAGTAAGGTTGACTAGTTATCAATATGTGGCAACATGCCATTGGCCCCCTAAACCTTCTAGATGTTTACTAATCCCTAGATTGAGATGGCAACATGCCATTTGTGCCTTTCCAACTTCTAGAACTTCCACTTTCCACTAAGTCAACATAAGACTTAGTCTAACCAATGGAATACTCCTTACTTTAGTCAAACCAATCAAAACTAAACATGAAGTTCAAAAGTCTAATCTCTTGGAATCTAGACTTTTGTACAAGACAAAATAGAAGTGCTCATTCAAATCTTCTAGAACTTCTCTAGTTATTCCGCCAAGTATAGACATTATAGCTAAACTAGCTAGACTTAGTCATAACTAGCTAGATTTAGTCATAACTATCCTAACCATGATTAATTCCTTGGCTAATTCTAGTTTTATTTCACACATGCAATATCTGGTCTTACAGATCCCATTGCACCTTCTCCTGCTCAAGGACCGCTAGAGTGAACCGAATACATTTTCTGCTGCAGAGCCTCCAAGACCTAGACTCAAGCCTGAAGTCTCGCGGCTCTCAGTTATTCTTGGTGCATGGAAATCCCACCGAAGTTATCCCCGAACTTCTTGAAAAGGTACTTAACAGAAAACTTGTTCTTCTGCAACTTACGTGTACGAGTCCTCCTTGATACAATTCTCCTTGTTTGAACCTCGTCATATATGTCACAGTACAAGGTCAATTTGGATGTTGTGGACTTGCTTAATATAGTTCTTATCTTCTCGGGAGGTCGTCGAGACACGGAGTGTCACGCATGAGCGGTTCATATCAGCTGCAGCTCAAAAATTCCTTGTTGAAGGGAGTATGAACCGGTTCTAGATTCTATCCAACTATTTAGAATTTGTTACTGCTATCAGTTTCTGATCATTGAAGAAATTGAAGACCAGGGTTTTAAATTTTGCCCAGAAGTCTACTCTCATGTTTTGATATAGCCTCGTGTGGAGGATAATGTTATTGAGAGATTCATGCTCTTGAGAGGCCAAGTCAAGAGTAGGTATTCCACACAAGTGTGTACTTTCGGACCTAGAATCCAATTATCTTCCTTACAAAGTCCAGACCCGTCCTACTAGCGATGGGATCGGGTGGACTGGACTGACCTTTTATGACTGAAAAATATATTTCAAACTTCCACAGGAGGCTCTGATGAGGAACGGGGAGATTGCCACCCAAGAAAGCTTGCAAGGTCTCGGGAAGGAAGGAAGGCCCTTAAATGTAGAAGACGATGGAACATGTACGAACCCACCTTTGGTGGACATTGGACCTGAGTGAAATATCTGTCTTCGCTCGGGAGCCGGACTATGAACCTGTGGCCCATAAACCTCTTCCCAGCCACTCCCAGCTCCGCCTCTTATGCTTTTGCAAATCCTTGTCCGGCACGTACCTTTCTGGTGTTGGCAGTTTATAGCAATATTCTAGTATACTCGGTAGTACTTCCCAAGGAATTGGAGGAAACAGTACATCGTTACTAACTAGAATGTACAGGGGCTAAATGTACCGTAAGTATTGTACATCTGCAAATGCTGGAAGTAGAGATATCCAAGTTAGATATGGGTATCTGGAACTGGACGTTTTTTAAAGGTCTAGGATTTTATCTGTTCACTAAAATTATGTTTGACACTCCATTGTTGAAAGTTGTATATCAGCCTCATGCTCGATCCTAGAAATCCTTGATTCTTTCCATTTCGTTGGTGAAAAAAATACTATCTTCAAATTTGAAACACTTCCATTGCCCAGGTACTGTTGTGACTAACCTGCAGTCAAACAGAATGTACAATTCTTTCTGCTATAGTACTTGGTAACCCCCTTCCACTCAAATGAACCCGAAGTAGCCATCACTTGTCACATCCTGCCAAGACGGAAAGGCCGCTCCACCGCCTTAACCTTCCTTGGTCGCCACTCGCTGCAGTTTAAAATCTTGACTTCTACTCTGCAATCTCCTGCTCTGGCCTCGACGTCTGTCTCGTGCTGGGTGGTGGCTGCTACTGCAGCATGCACTCAAATCACCGTCTGTGCAGCCAGCCATACTTCCGTGGCTCCCAGCTTCTCTTTCTCCCTCCGAGTCTTCCACAAAGTCTAGGATTTTCTAGGATTTCCAGAATCTGCCGCAGTTTCCCTCTTGCACCTTGGCAGTGGTATCCCCAGACCGGGAGCTTCGGTCTTTTCTAATAACTCTTTTGTTGTAGCTCGCTTTGTCTCATATTTTGTTGCATGGACCTTACTTTTCTAATTGCTTCCTAGTGTGAGACCCACTTTCAGTCCCTTTTAGTTTGCCACCGGCTCATTAATTCCCTTAGCCAACCATTTCTAACTTAAGAGCTGTATAGTCGTTTCTTCCCCTCCGTCTTCATATCTCATCAGTGAAGAACTCCCCATTCTCCACAAGAGCATGAAGATGATGGGTGAGACGAAGAAGTTTTAACAGCTGATAAACTCAAAGCCTGCCCAGGACATCCAAAAAGATGAGAGCATGCCACGGACATTTTTAAGTTTCACGTCCTGCAGCTTTGCTACCCAACCTTGAAGCTTGAAGTGGGCCTCCACTCTCGTTGGCATCATCAATTGGAGTGCCTCCGCAAATCTATGCTCGCTCATAAGCTGAGCTCGACGGAAGCATGCATTGCCTTGCTTTAAGGGCCCCATTAAAACCTCCACCAACCTTGAAACACTCACCAAATTAAGCAGCCGCACCTCCACATTTGCGCTGTATGGCTAACTCTGCCATAACTCACATGGCTAACTATTCCCCCATGACCTGTGATGGAATCTTAGCATCGTTTGTACCTTTTTTTCCAACTTGTATGAGTGTTTTTTTGGTACCTTGATTTTGCTAAGCTGATTTTGGTAGAGCTGAAAAGGATTCGGCTGAGCAAATGTTACTCTTTGCTTTTGCAGATGCATTTTTGAAGGTCCTTGGTGAGGGTTTGGCAGCCCCTTTCAGTACAAGTGAGCACTAAAGTTCTAGTCTGAACTTCACATTTTTGGATTTGTATTTTGCTAAGTAGTTTTGGACTTTTTTCCCAATCTTGATGGAGTCTATTGAACCTCCTTCTAAGCGACTCCGCAAAACTCCATTCCAGCAAAAACATCTATTACAGTATGGTCTCTGTATAGCAAGTCGTGATGCTAGAACTTCTGAAGTGATGGCAGTTAGGTGTAGATTCTGTGTATGTTTCGGACGCGAAGAACTTGTTAAAAAATCCTCTACATCTTGGACATTTGAAGGGCCTCCTTTCAGGACAGACAACTACATGCAGCATCTTCGCATCAATCATCAGGTGAGGTGGAGGGAGTATCAGAAGCTTTCGACTGAAGATAAGTACAAATATTTTGCTGTTTCTATGAAACATGCTGAAACTATTTGTCATTTCATGGAAAATAAGTCTGACATGAGCATTTTTATAATCAGATGTTCAATTGTTGATGTGATTATAGGAGACATGCTATGGAATGAAAATGATTTGTATGGTCAATCACGAGCAAATGCAATGTCACTCTTTAAACTAACTGATGATGGGAATTATTGTATTCAAATTAGCCAGAAAAAACAGTTTGAGCTGGTAATTTGTTTTGTTGCACGAGAAATGTCCTTCTCAATGGCTGCTGATGCAGTTCAGGATGCGAAAGAGGTCTGTGATATTCCTAAACTTGGATTTTGTAGTGAATCTCTTGTTGCTTCTTATGTTAGAACCGCATGCGCTATATCTATTGAAAATATTGCTCAGATACTACACTCGGCCTGGACTTTTTCTGTAGCCTTTGATGCCTCTTGTGACCTACAGGGAGTTTCTTGGATAGATGTTCGAATTCGGTTTTATCAAAATTCTTCTATTGAAAATCTGCACCTTATCACACTTCCTTTTTCTGGTAGACATACAGGATTGGCTATGTTTGAGATGTTTTGCAAGTTGTTTGATGCAGTTTGTCCCTTATGGAAAGACAAGCTAATTGGGTGTTCAACTGATGATGCTACAAATATGACAGGACATTTATCTGGAGTTGTGACACGTTTTCAGGAAGTAGTTAGACCAAATTTCATTCGTGTATGGTGTTTGCTGCATCAGATAGATATTGTGATGCAAAAGATATATAAAAATGCTAGCTGTGGATTTCAGAAGACTCTAACCTCACTGATTTCTGTTTTACGACGTCAGAAAATTTTGATAGATGAAATGCAAGCTATTTGTCCAAATTTATCTACTACTCGTTGGGCCTCTATGTCACGTGTATCTCGTTTTTTGGTCAAAAGAAGATCTGAAATCATGGCTTATTTTGAACAGAGTGATGTTTCTCAAAGAATTCGTGACATGCCTTCATTATCTTGGTGGATTATGGTTGCAGTTGTAAGTGAGCTTTCAGGGCATGTAAGTCAGTGTGTGGAAGGTTTACAAGGAAGAAGAACTACTTTGCAACACCAAAAGTCGGTTCTTCAAGATCTGCTTACTAACTTACAGCGTTTTGCATGTGTAGAGCGAGTTGGGATTGAATTAAACTCATCCCCAGCGTTAGACATTGTAACCTTGGACAGATGGGAAGTTAGTCATGCCAATCTGATAGGGTTAATCGAAGATCAAGGTCTGTTTGCTACCCAAGCATTGGCAGAGATGGACACAGACTCAAAAAGTGAAGTGTTGCATGCAGTTGGCAACCTGTTTTTGGAAGCAATTTGTAATTTGAGCAAGGTAGAAGCTACACGTGATGAGTTGAACCAGGCAGCTTCTAGTATTTTGCCACCTTGCTTCCCTCAGGAACTGGTAGCTATGACGACACTAGAAATTGTTCAGTTAGTTCTTAAATATCAAGATCGTCTCCAAGTTTCTCGGGAACAAGAGGACATAGATAAAATAGTGGAAGAACACAAAGAGCTTCTAGTTTTTGTAAACACAGAGCATCGTCTTCGAAATGCTTTGAGTAGGTTGACTGAGCAGTCTGATTTTTGTGAAGCTTGGAGTACTCCAAATATTAGGAACAGGTTTCCTCGACTTATGGAATTTGTAGGAGGATTAGCTTGTCCATTTCCTAATACTGCAACGGTAGAAAGTGATTTTTCAGTTTTGAAATGGGAGAAAGATATTCATATGTCCAATATAACTCCCATTTCTCTTGAAGGTATATTACACTGTCGTCAAATTCGAAGTTTATTAAAGAAAACATGACAGATTTATGTCATGTTCCGTATGTTCCTTATTTTGTTCTGAAAATGTTCCTTATTTTGACGAGATACGGAACATAAGGAATTCGCCCTATATAGAGAGGCCTGACCATCACCAAGATTTGGAGTTGAGATTAGGCGACCAGGAGTTCCAAATTTGCAAGAAGGTTATGCAAATAATGGAATGGTTCGAGGAGAAGCTGGAGTTCGTGACAATCGCCAATGCTATGCATGTGGACGAATGGGTCACATAGCCAAGTTTTGTCGAGTTCGGCCGACACAACAAGGAGGACGGCCCATGCAGCGACGCCCGTTCAACAATATGGAGGGGATAGAGTATGAAGAGATGGAGGAAGCAGTTTTGGGAAACAAAGATCACCAGTAATCTTGCCTCGCGGCCTTACTGGTTCTACAAAGCGAAGAAAAGGCGAGGTTGGAAGAAGGCAATGGTTGGGAGCTCATGGAAGGAGTAAGAAGCAAACTCAACTCAACTCATTGTCACTGATGGTTTCATGGAAGGACACAAGGTGAGAGTTTTAATTGATCCTGGAGCAACTGAGAATTTTCTATCAAGGAATGTTGCTATGAAGTTAGGTTTGATGTTGATGAAGGACGTGAGTGAAGAAGTTGAATTGCCAAACGGGCAAACTGAAGTGATAGAAATACTACCACGAAGTGTAGAATTATCCATAAGTAGATACAAGGAGAGCATTGAATGGAGAGTAATTCGTTTAGCTCGATATGATGTCATCCTTGGAATGCCATGGATGGAACAATGTAATCGGAAGGTAGATTGGCGAAGAAAGTGATTACAAGTAGTGGATGGAAGATCTATGGAGATAGAATTAGATTTCAGAATAGGAATTTACCCCTCTTTGTGATGGGTACAGCATCCATTTCTAGAGATGATGTATGTTTCCTTGGACTTATAAGAGATATTGGGTCCACGAACAAACTTTACATCGCGGAGTCCTTGAACAACATTTTTATGGAGTATAAAGATGTTTTTCCAGATGATCTACCTGCAAGATTACCACCAAAGAGGCAAGTAGATCACAAGATTAAGGTGATACCTGGAAGTACACCAACTTGCAAAGCTCCATATCATTTGGCTCCAAATGAATTGGAAGAATGCAAAGCTCAAGTGGAGGAGATGTTGAGCAAGGGATTCATTCAACCAAGTGTTTCACCTTATGGAGCTCCAGTACTCTTTGTGAAGAAGAAAGATGGATCCATGAGACTATGTATCGATTATCGCGGGTTGAATCAGCAAACGGTGAAAAACAAATATCTATTACCTCGTATGGATGATTTGTTTGATCAACTTCAAGGAGCGAAGTACTTCATCAAGCTAGATTTGAGAAGCGGCTACAATCAAATTTGAATTGCAGATGAAGATGTTCATAAGACAACTTTTCGTACTAGGTATGGACACTTTGAGTATCTGGTGATGCCTTTTGGTCTCACTAATGCACCAGCTACATTCATGGGATTGATGAACGATATCTTTCGCCCTTATCTAGATAAATCTGTCATTGTTTTTCTAGATGATATATTGGTGTATAGCAAAACTTTGAGTGATCATAGAAGTCATTTACGAGAGGTACTTCAAGTTTTAAGAGACAATCAATTCTATGCCAAAGCTTCAAAATGTGAATTTGGCAAGTCAGAAGTAGATTACTTGGGTCATAGAGTTACAACTACATGAATCCAAGTGATGAGTGAGAAGATAGATGCCATTCAGAAATGGATAGCACCTTAGGATCAAACTCAATTGAAGAGTTTTCTAGGGATCACTTGATTCTATCGTAGATTTGTGAAAGGTTTTGCTCGACTTACTCAGGCCTTGACTTCCATGTTAGGGAAAGGTCAAAAGTGGAGATGTGGAACATCTCAAGAGTTAGCTTTTCAAGCATTGAAAGATGCTTTGTTACTCGCACCTATTCTCAAGTGGTCAGATTCTAACCGTTCTATCAAGTTGGCCACTAACGCATCAGGTACAACAGTATGTGGCATACTTCAACAAGAATGGGAGGAT